GCAGGCACTTTTTTCTTTGCTTTATGCAATTTCAGTGCATAAATGATTCATAGGAGTGCTCCACTTCTGGAAAGTGAGGGAAGCCTGTATTGTTTTCTTGTGACTCAGGGTTTTTTGGATATATAACAGAGAAAATGAGGTAGGTTATCTTGCTTTTGCTCTTAAGTGGTTTTCCAGAAATTTAGCTGATCCCATTCCATGGAGAAATTTCATCTCCCTCACAGTAAAATATGGTTGAATTCTGACATTGGTATGAGGTTTGGTTCAAATCTCTGCTATGTCACAACCCATATATGCCTGTAAGCAATTACATTTGCTCTCCATGTTTCTCATCCCTGATGGGAATAGATATTTCACAAGGTTATAAAGTCATAGAAGAAAAAAAACTGAAAATACTAAAAAAATAAGGCTAATCTATTTCATCAAATGATAGGTTAAGACATTAATTTTTTAAAGACTGCATGGCAATTAAAAGTAACATTTTCTTTTTGTCAGGGAAATTTGGTAACTTTAATATAGTATATTTTTCTCAGAAAACAGCAACTAGTTATATTTTCTTCCTTTACAGGAAGCTTAAGGAAATACCATTTCCTCAAAAGTAGAGGGACCTATACTAAATACAGATGTAAAGGAAATTTTGTGAAGCAAACATTTTTTAATTGATATGTATTATGTTTCAAGGATGAATAATGTCCACCTAGTCATAGCAGTGGAAAGGAGGATTGTGTATATAGGGTAACAGTTCAGTGTTTCACCTAACCCTTAGTATCCTGGCAGAGGTAGTGTCTTCTGTTGGAACCCTAGCTCTGTGATCCAGGACTTGTAGGATTTCAGGTTTTTTCTTCACTGTAACATATTTTATGTACACCAGAGGGCAGGAGTTCCTTGGTATGTATGGGAGGGAACCACATAAGAGAAAGGCTGATATTCTGAGGAAAGGGATATATAAAAACCCACAGAATTAAGCCTTTGGAAAGGAAAGGATGTTGATGAGATGAAATATGTCCATCTCCTGCAATGGGTTTACTCATGCAATCTTTTCCTGGTCTTTCTTCCACCCCCATTTTCTTTGTTGTTTTTTAGTAGCTACTAGTACTTTTTTGGTAGCTAGGAATCCTGGAATCACCATCACCCTAGTTAAATGACTTTGTCTGTCTGTGATACTGCATTCTCTGGCTGGAGCGGAAACCTGTGCAGCCAGTTGTCAGAGTGCAATTCCTGCCTGCGACAGGATAGTTACATATGGGAGCATTGCAGGCAGAGGGCTGGAAATACGCCAGCTTACGTAGGCATGTCAGCCGAATAAGAACGTGAAAGTCCATCCAGTGGGATCCTCATCAGTTACCACTTGAATGAAGGCATGGTTTTTTTCCTTTTTAAAGTATTGCTGCAATAATGTACTTACTAAATATCTGAGCCATTATGGAAAAAAGTCAGTATTTAGAATCTTACATGGCTTGGCCAAATTAACACTAAATATAGACCAACAGTTTTCATGCTGGGGTTTCTGAGCCTTGGAGGAGCAGCAGAGTGCTGAAAGACAAAGAAAGAACTGCAGAATTTGTAGAAGGTTTTATTGTAGTTGTTTCTGAATAATTAGTTTTGCTTTTTCCTGGTAACCTAGCAGTCAAAGCTCACGTGTAAGTAATTTGCATGCTATTACTCTGTTAAATTATGATTTTTGAGGTAGGGGCTTTTTTTTGTTGCATGTGCTCTATGCTTTTAAATTTTGATAGAAATGATTTAAAAATTGACTCCTGAATGTGAAAAGGCACTGACTCTGAAATGAAATTAAAGAACAAATTACTATAAATCACTCAATAAACTTCCTGTTAGCTTTAAATTAAGCCCTATCTATTATAATGATGCTGATTTTGTCATTAGCAGCATGGGTATGAAATATTTCTATAGTTTCATACCAAACATCTATGGGTAAAAATAAAGAGCAGCAAAGCATTTTTTTTTTTCATGGATAACCATTTGTCAGAATATTTATTTATAGATAGCCAAAGAATTCTTAAATGATAAATAGAATCAGCTGCTAGCATTAATCTAAACCAGTGGCAAATAGAATTACTTACATTTCAGTTCAAGGTATTAGAAAGGGTTGTCCTTAAAAGGATGATACTTTGGTCAATCTTATGAGCAAATTTGCACCAGAGTTGGGAAAGCCGCCTGAGTTAGTGTGGTACAGAATTTAGTAACACTCTGGGCTCTGGCTCTACCCAGATGCCCTCAAAAGGAAATGCCAAAGATAGCACCAACTGTTTGTCAAACAGCTGTGGGTCCTGGTTTTAGGGCCATGTGATCATGTATCCATTTTCCACAGCATCATTTGCAGGCTCTTGAACCACACCCAACTCACTTTTCTCTATTCTTTATTTTCCATTTGGGTATTTGACTTCTTTTAAAATACACTGAAATAGCATCATTGAGACATGACTTTATCCTAAAGAAGAAATTGTCTTTCAGAGCACTTCATGGCTCACTGTGAGCTATTTTCTTAGTTCTTTGGGATGCTGACTCACCTTTTGAATCAGTAACAAGGCCAGTAATTTGGAGATTTTATTAGCTGTGCTGCTCTTAAGTCAGTTTTTGTGGCTATGATTTTCTAGCTAGTCCTCTATTTTGTAAATGTTGATTAAGTCTTAGTATAAGATTTCAGCAACAGTAATTACATTCCTAAACAGGAAGCTAAGGCTCAAGTATATTAAGTCAGAGATCCAAAAATGAACCATGTATCAGTCATCACGCCCTGAATAGAAGCCATGTTTGGAAGGGTGTACACGACACAACCTTTAGTACTCTATAAAAGCATAGAGCACATGAGTACTATAAAGAGATGACAGAATATTTCTGGAGGAATAGTTTAGAAATGTATGACCATCAAACAACCAAAACACCTGGGCCTTGTTTTTATCTGTACAAAGGGAAGATTTGGTTAATGTCAGAGACCCCCCCCCCCTTCTCCCTATCAGCAGCTACTTTTTTTGTCACTTTAAGTCATCCCTTTAGGAATGCTCCATGAAGTAAAGTTGGAATTCAGTAAGATCAAGTGCTGTAAAGATCAAGTAAAGTGCTGTAATATTCTATCTAAAATTCCTTGGGACTATGTGTTCTTAAAATTCCAGGATAAATGAAAGGCCATCTTTGGTTTTTAACTTTGAAATACATTAACTGACTTTTGTACACATTGTTTTTCTTAGCAAGGATTCTGGTAGCACTTTATTTCTTAAATTAGGAATTTTTAGATATCACTAGGAAATTTGTGGATTTTAATAATTAAGCTGCTTAGTAAAGGGCTGGTACATTTTTTTCAGATCTTCTACAGTGTGCACATCATTCCCCCTCCCCCCCGCCCCCCTGGATTTGATTCCTCCCAACTCTTATATTCTTTTTATTCTGTATCTCAGTGTTAGAAAAGGAAAGGGAAGTAGGAAGTAAATAGTGTTGCCTTATTTAGATGGGCACAATGTTTTGACTCTAGACAGATAACGCAAGATTTACCCTCGTTTTTATTTTGGTCAGTGCACTTATTAACAACCTCAAAATTTTTTGAAAACAGTAAGATTTAACTCCTAAATAGGATCTCTTAAGTCTTCCAACTTAACCTAAATCACTGACTTCTAAACCTGGCACTGAGCATTTGAAGCCGAGGATTTGTGCTGGCCCTAAGGAGTTTTCAGTCTGGGGAAATAAAAGTTGTCAGCAAATAAATGCAACACATTATAGATGTTTGGACAGAAGTACATACAGAATCCAGAAAGTTATCAAAGGAGAGATTGGCCGATTTATAGCGCAGGTAAAGCTTGAGCTGGGTCTTAAAGGAGGATTAGTAAGTAGTTTGGAAAAGGAAAGAAGCATGAGGGAACTCTGAAGACAGGCTCCTGTTCACTTCTGTTAGCCAAATATATGATTGTAGACATTTACCTTCTGAGATTTAGTGCCCCTATTGCTGGACAGAATGAAGACTAGACTAGAACATATCTAATATCCGTTCTAGATCAGAAAATCGGTATCACTATTAGACTCATTTTATGAAAGTAACATTTAAAGAGAGGACTTTTATAGTAATCAGAATTTCTTTTGAGAGTCTTCTTTCATGTAATTAAAAGGTCACAAGTTTTCTATTGCACTAGAGCAGTTTCTTAAAATAGTCCTTTAAAAAAAAATAGACCTTTAGCCCATTCAGAACTTTCAGTGTTGTTCAAAACAGTGTCGTCATTAGAGAATATAACCTTAAATATAAGTCTCATTAAAAAATTTTTTTTTTGTAAGTGACCCTGATCTAAGGAAAATTTGGCCTGGAGACTGCAAAAGATCGTGGAATCCAGTTTTAAATTGGCTGTAGGTTTTAAATTGGCCTCTTTGTGGCATCTAAATTTACTATAATTTTTGTCTTGGGGATTCATAGTCAGCATCTTAATTCATATACCACATTGAAGGAGAATATAAAAATTAGTTTTGTATTATAGCTTTATGTAACTAGAATAGTTCATAGTAATATTCTCTTCTCTCCGAATTGTTATGACCACAGTCTGACTAACTTAATTTTATCTTTTCATTGTATATAGATAAACTTGCCTAAAGAATGTGAGGCTTCTTGCCAGAATAGAAACAATGTAATGAAAGAGAAAAAATTCAAAATCAATTACAAAGTAAGAATCAGGACCAGGGAAAATAAAGGCAGAATTGAAGAATCTGAGGCTGAGGGAAAGTATATTCAGATAGGTAGGGTATAAAGCTCTGTGCAGTTCTTATACATGGGCTACACAATTTACTCAGCTTCCTGGCGAGCAAAGCGAAAAGGATAGGTATAAAGTAGCTCCTAGAAAGAATATTTTCTTTCTGACAAAATTTTTCTAGATTTTCAATTGCGAATGTATTTATGTGTGGGTCTTTGTATGTCTGTCCGGCTACGTGCAGGTTGTGCTATTTATGAAGTTCAACTTCCCAGTCTAGTCTCCTGTGTCTAATGTCAGTGCTTTCTTCCAGGCACAATGAATCCTTCCCAGGACACTGGCTCTGGTGGCATTTATGAAGAGAGGAAACTTTATGTTGTGGATTCCATAAATGATTTGCACAAACTAAACCTCTGTCCTGCTAGACCACAGCATCATTTTCGTATGTGTCCTCTGAGGCTTGGGGTCCTCCCCAGCTTCCAGGCCACCTGAAAATATAAAATGTTGATCTGGGGGTGGATGGGTGTGGTGGGAGATGCAGTAGGCACTAGGAACAACAACTCAGTCCTGAAAATACTATTCGTTATCAGGCAAGTTCTGCTTTTGTTCTCTGAATACTTGACAGACTTATGAACTTACTGGGTTCATAGGCAAGATTTGAACTCTTTTTTTTTTTCCTCAAGAGTTCTAACAAGGCCTAGTAAAAGGCCCCTCTCCTTAGACAGGAGCGGGAGCTGCAGAGCTCATCTCCCAGAGACATGCTTATCCCTTTTGACAGCTCTTGTGTAGCAGCCAGGTTAGCAAAGGAGTCTGCTCTCTTACACGAGTCTTACTTCTTAGTGGGCAAGTAAGACTTCCTACACATTCCAGTTTTAAAAAATTATCAAACTTTTGGGTAGCAAAAGTTTTTTTTCTATTTAAAAATGACAAATTGCCCCATTTAAAGGACTAGGAAACAAAGGGGGGAAAGAAAAGAAAATCTGCTAGATACTATATTTGTATCTTGTCCCCTAATTATGAGTTCTGTAGATCATCCTGAACACTGACAGTCTTATGCAAAAATTCATCGCTCACAGCCATTGTTCATATACACTCTTAGGTTTGTCTTAGTCTTTTTTTAAAGATTTATTTATTTTTACATGCGGAACTGGGGTACAGGCCAGAGGTGTGAGGGGTGAGAGGATTTACCAGAGACAGAGCGGGGAGCAGAACAGGCAGATCTACTGAAACACACTGCTGAGGGGAGCAGCAGGTGGGTCAGGAGAAGTCTGCTGTGCCATGTGGGTCAGCTCCCTGGCCAGGGATCAAATTCATACTACAGTGGCTGCAACAGCTACACAGTGCTGTGCTTTAACCCGTTGCATCAACAGGGAGGGCCCAAGTTTGTCTTACTCTTATTCCTATTTTTTCATATTTCAACAATTACATATGTTTTAAATTGAGGTAATATTGGTTTACAGCACTGTGTATGAGTAGGCTATAAGGGACCACATCCCATTGTTTTACTAATATCCTTCTAAACTATTTCTGAATTTTTGTATTTTTTCTTTATTGTTTTCAGATTTTCACCCATTGTTTTTACATTTCAGTGTCAAGAAAAGTAGGTATTTTGGTCTGGATCAAATCATTGCTTTACTCAGGAAGTTAAGCACAGAACATAAGCCTGTCACCTGTCTATAATCAAGTGTCATGGTGTGTGGGACTGGGGCAAACTGGAGGGAATGTGAAAAGCAATGATTTCTTACCCCAAAGTCCTGCATTTCTTATTCAACTAGGATGTCACTAGACCTATAGGACTAATAAAATAATGACCGATGCAGACAATTCATAGTTTGGTTGAAACAAGTTATTTTATAGACCTATCTGCATTCTCAGTTCAGTAGCAAATCATTTCAAAGAACGAGACTGGAAAACGCTACTTCATTGGTGTTGACCAGAAAGTCCATATTAACTAGTTAAGACTATATTCCTGGGATGTGTTGAAACTGAAGTTAGGTTAGATATCAAGTCTTGATGGGCTTAGCACAAACAGCTCCATTTTGGTCTGTCATTTTCTTTTTAACAAAACTAAGATACATCATGGCTGTTGTATTTGTCTGCACAGATGTAGGCATAACCGACTAACTCCTATATAAAAGGGGTTTCCTGGGAGATGCCTCAGGGCTTTCAGCCTGCATGCACAGGTGTGTCCCGTTATCAGTGGTGTTTACTCCTGCGTCACCCTGGGAAAGGGCTGTAAAGTTGCTATCATTGAACACTTAATTTCTTTATTCCCCATGTCCTGCTACTTAAGTATTAATACCATCCCAAAAAACTTTACAATCAGGAGTAAGGAGATAACCCTGCTTAACCCTGCTTGTTCATTGAACACCAGTCAGTGTAAAGAAGGTTAGAAATTCTTGGTCCAAAGACATTCCTAAAACGTCAGTCACTTTTGAGGATGGTGAGTGGGGCGACATGCATGGGGGGCTCTTCAGTTCCACTGACCAGTTGTGTCCTGAGGATTGGTGTCCACACACCTCTAGGGGAGAAGAACCCAGGCTTTGGCGTTAACTCAGGGGATGGACGTCGCAGTCTACTTCTTGTGGGGCTGATAATTGTGCTGATAGTCAGCCTGGCACTGGTTACCTTCGTGATATTTCTAGTAGGTGAGTACCACCTCCTTGTTTTTCATCCCTTATATGTACTTTCTTATTATTTTGTTCCTTTGTAACCAGGTAATGTTTTCTGGCGTAAAATACTTACGCTGAAGGAAAAGGAGAGGCAGCACCTAACTGAGCCCTGTTGCTCTGGAGCAGGGTCACTGGGCACAGTCCCATGGCATAAGGCCCAACTGCCAAAGTTCACAAACACTGACATTAACCGTTTCTCTAACACTTCTCATTTGGAGTCACAGACAGACAGTGGTTTCTTCTAACTCTAGGTTGCCTGAATCCAATACTCAAGTTTTCTCTGATTTACAACTGGTCTCTAACAAATAGTCATAATCAGGTTTTAGCTCCCTTCTAGGTTTTCTCACTTTCTGGGAATCACACTGTGTGGACTGTGCAAGGTGCTTGGTACTGTTGGGAGGTGACCAGTGTGGCTTCTTTCCTGCCTGGCACTGCCCAGGCTGACATCCCGCTTCTGATATAAGCTATCCTTCCAGTTCTCGGCCTGCATCAGCTATGCCCTGCCTTTGAGCAGTGGTTCAGGCTTTCTTCCCTTTTCATTCAAGAGACCCCTGGGATCTCAGTGCCTCTCCTTTCTGATTTCTCCCCTAGAGCCCTTCCAGCCAAGACTGCCGCCTCCTTGTGGAATACAACAATTTCCTAACCCCTGTGTATCATCATCTGAAATTACTTCAGTATTTTCATTCTCCCCCTACCCCCGCTCTGCCCCCCCTAAAAATTGGAAGGAACTCAAGAGTTTTGCTTAGATCTAATACTCAGACTTCGCAGCCCTTTCATGCACTGCAGCCATCAGATATCCTCAGTGAGAAGTGGAGCCCATGAAATGCTCTCATTTAAGTCAGAGGAGGTAGAGGTGTTGATGATGGGAGGAAAGCATGAGCAGAGACTTGACTTTCCACCTCTGACCTGTTTATTCTTGCAAATTCCTTCCTCTTTCCATCTTGAAGGTGTTTAGCTTGAGTGTCAGGGCTTGTGGGGAATGATGATGTTGAATTCATTCTTGTCACCCAGCTGACACCTTTGCATTAAGAAGTCACAGTGGGAACTAGGCTTATAATAATGTCTCTTATATCTGTCAACAGAAGGAGTGTCTACCCTGAACCTGCAGGGCCAGAAAGATCCATGGATTTCTATTCTGAAATACCAACATAAATTGACATTCCAAATATCACTCTGCTACACCTGTCTGGGGCAATGACTGAGTTAATCTAATAGGAAATATTAGGTATGATTATAGACTTAGCAACCCAAAAGAACTCTTTTCTGAGGGATGATAATAAAATTAAGGGTAGTGAAATATTTTTAAATGCCATACATTGAGTCCTTGCTCTGTTCTAGACACTGTGCTAAGCACTTGATGTCTGTTAGTGCACAACCTCATAATCACTCTATTATTATGGTTTTACCGATGGTGAAACAGAGGTTAGAGATGAATTAATGTGCCCAAAGTCACACAGAATCAAAAATCAAAGACACTCTTGGCTGACTTTGTCATTATTGTATTCTTCTTGTATAAATAGGATTTATTTTTATATTGCTTGTAGTGGTTTATATAAAAAGGCAAAGTCATATAAGTAAAACATGAGAATGTGAATTGAGAAGAATATCTTTTTTTATTTTTTATTTTTATTTTTTTTTTTTAAGATTTATTTATTTATTAGTACAGAACTGGGGTACAGGTCAGAGATGCAGAGGGTGAGAGGATTCACCAGAGACAGAGTGGGGTGCAGAACAGGCAGATCCACGAAGTACACTGCTGAGGGGAGCAGCAGGCGGGTCAGGAGAGGTCTGCCTCGCCATGTGGTCACCTCCGGGGCAGGCGGGAATCGAACTCATGCGGAAGTGGCTTTAGCTTCTTAGTGCTGTGCTTTAACCCGCCGCGCCACCAGGGAGGGCCCGAGAAGAATATCTTTTTACTGAACAATTACTCCATGTCAGACACACTAAATTAATTCTCTAAAATTGGTATTTGACCCAAAGGTAATATTTCTATTTCACTGATGGAAGACGAAGGTGTAGAGAGTTTACTCTATGTTTACCCAGCCAATAGAAGTAAACTGTACTCAAACCCTGGGCTATCTGCCTCCTTAACTCCCTGTACCCCACTTTCCCGTGTTGAAGTAGTAATAAAGGCTGCCTGTGGTTTTCAAACAAAGTCTATCCAACTAAGACCAGAGTTGGCATAGACCTCTGTAAATGAACATGGCTTGCGTGCTTTGTTAACAAGGAAGTCTTTTTGTTCTCAGTGGGATTTAGTACAAATTTGTACCTTTCTAACTGAGGTGATTGTATTCATTATAACTCTGGCATCTTTACACAAGAGGAAAAAGACTGTTTCATACTGATTATATTCTTATTAACTGTCAGGCCTTTTGTTTTTGTCACAATCTCTATCCTAAATAGGAGTAATGGGCAGCCAAGTAGATTACTAAGGAGGACTGTCTGCACTGGTAGCTGTTTTGAGTGGATAAGCACTATATTCCTGAGAATACTAGATATTAGGGATGTTATTAAGTTGCCTTAAGGAAAAAAGAAACCTCCGTGATTCTGGTTCTATGGTCAGAAGAGAGTGAGAATTGCTGGGTCAGGTAATGCTCAAGGTTTTTATTTCTAATGAATTTCCAAAAGGCAGATTAACTTTTCCCTAGCATTTTTGCACATGGAACCCTTTTTCTTTTTTGGAATTTAATTTGGAACCAGTGTGTTGTGGTATACACTTAGGCCATGGTCTTTTGTGCTTCATTAACAGGAGTTTCCTGATAGGGGGAAGGACGTCCTTACAGATTACTTCAGTTTCAAGCTTTTCCCTGGAAGCAAGTGGTATCTGTTTTACTTTGTCACAGAGCTAAGACCCTTGTCTCAGGTCTTTCTTGGACCATAATTCCCTAACACAATTTTTCATACATAGGGGAAGAGCTTCCAAGAACAGTTTGTCCCTAGGCTGGAAGGTGACGCTCTAAACTCTGGTTTACCTCCTATGTTAGCGTCCTGGCCAAGCACAGTGGCATGCTTCCAATAGCATTTTTTTCCTGAAAGAGTCCATGGAAAAAACTTACCTGAAATGGAAATGATAAGAAGTACAAATATAGAGTACTGATTTGTGCTGTATTTCTGGGAAATTTTAGCTCTGATAAACAGATCGACAATGTCCCATTCTCAAGGTTACTTTTTTGCCAGGGGTTCTGTTTACTTTGAAAATATTGCCCTTCCGTTCTCAGAGTGATCTGGTGGAGTTGTTATACCTTCATTATGGGCTGATAATTCAGAACCAGCAAGAGCTATGTCAGGACAGGCTAGAATTAAAAAAAAAAATCTCATTTCACAAATAAGCAGCAAAAACTCTTTTCTGAAAATGAGGCAACCCAACATTTCACTCTCTGGGAATAATCAGACACACTGGTGATTTTCTTTGTTTCTCACAGCCATGGCTTTTACAGCCAGAATTAATGTGGAACAGTTAAAGGTTGTCTAGGCTGGCACCAAGAAATTATAAGAATATTTCACTTAATAGGTGACTTCAGTCTTAGGCAGTGTCTCTCCTGAGCTTTTGGACCGTGCTCACATGCCACATTTGGAGTAGGGAATTGGCCAAGATCCAGGACTCAGCTAAGCACCAACACAGGGCTGATATGTTCTGAAGAAACACACAGAAAACTAACCTAATATAGTCTGTTTTCTATTTTGAAGTTCAAACTGGAAGCCAGATGGAAGATGTGTCAAGAAGATTAACAGTTGAGAGAAAGGACATAGATGATCTTAAGAAACTTAACAACCTGATTGTAAAGCGACTCAACCAGCTGGAATCTGAACAGAACTGAAGAAATGATCTTTTAAGAGCAATATGAACACCTGAACTTCCTGCTCTCCTGGGCATCTACAGACTAAAGAACTGAACCGGTGTGTTTCTACAGGCATCAGGGAGCCAGAGAACAGAGCCAGTTCTGGGGACAACTTTCCTCTACCAGGTTGGGAGCAACTCAAAGCTAAGAGTTCAGGGGACAGCAGCCAGAAAGAGGCCCACGTCCTGGTCAGGGCCTTCAGCATAATGGGGTTCAAGAGAACTGGCATGGAGGAGAAACCACAGTCAACAAGAGAATGCAGTGCTGTACCTGCAATTCCACTTTTAGGGGGAAATGTGTTACCACTATAAAATCACTTTGGCAATGGGGTTGATGGGACTAATGCATCTTTGCAAGCTCCTGGAAGGCCTAAGGATTGTGTTCAATTATTTATGTTCAGGAGATCTGGGTGATAATAATCCTTTTCAATAAAAGAGGATCAGCTTAGGTGATTGAACTTGGATTCTTATTTCTTCCAGGGACAGGATATGGGCAGACCTCAGAGGTAGTTACCTGCTTGGCTTTGCTAATTATGTGTGTGGAGTGGGGTGGGTGGGGGCTCAAAATTTATGCAACTAATATTTATTAAGCTCCCACTGTGTAACTACTGTATTCAAGAGGAGCTTACATTCAAGTGGGGAATAAAAGAGATGTATAGTTGTACTTACGGAAGCCTTACTTACTTTATTTCTTTTTTAAAATTTATTTATGCATACAGAACTGGGGTATTGGCCAGAGGTGCAGGGGTGGTGAGAGGATTCACCAGAGTCAAAGTGGGGAGCAGAACAGGCAGATTGATAAAGTACACTGCTGAGGGGAGCCGCAAGTGACACAGCAGAGGTCTGCAGTGCCATGTGGGCCACCCCTCGGTTAGGGGAGTGAACTTGTGTTGCAGCAGCTGGGGCCAGCTTTGTGGTGTTGAGTTTCAACTCATTGTGCCATCTGTTTATTTCTCATGAAAAGAAAAAATCCTCAGTACCCTATTGATTAATTTTGAAGAACTCTGGTAGTTTGTATATCTACCAAAACACTGTAGAATTTTATATATTTGGAATATTTGGAACCTACTCTCTTTTAGAAGATGCGGTATGATATAAATGAGTTTTAAAAAAGCATGATGCAAAAAAAAGCGTAATTCTTACAAAATCTTTTATTTAATATATATACAAGTCTATTGAAGACTATATTGGAACTCTCATTTTGTGTCAAAATGTAAGAAACATGTGGGATTCCCTGATAATTAAACATACACATATTTTATGATTCAATAATTAGTGAAATAAATATTTTATTTTACTGGAAAAATACTTATTGACTTATTTATGGGATGTGACAGAATAGTTATCAGAATTTGTTATATCATTGTTTCAGAAACTACAGAGTAGCTGATATAACTCTTTTTTTTTAAATGCCCATTTCTTTCCTTGAATCTGTTTGTTCTTGTTAGGCTTCTCCTCTTTCCCCCCTTTTCTATTTACAGAGTGCATGTGTATCAGTAATCTTGCTATTCCAAGACACATGTGATTTTTACATGAAGTCATGACATCTCAGCCATCTTCTTGGATCTCCACTGTCCTGTGTGCTCAGCAGAGGCTCATTGCTGCTGGTATTTGAATTCATAGATTGACAACTTCCATTGACCTTATTTTAAAATATCGACTAGCTTTATGTCATCTTTATTTTTTTCAGCAGGATATTTAAATTTTCTGTAAAGGCTACTGTTCGAGCAACTGAAATGATCTGAATTAGGTCTGTAGACTAGATAATAGTGTTATGAGTCTAAACTTTCAGATTTTAATTGTATCATATAAGAAAATATACATGGAAGCACTAACGAATAAAGAAATATTGTATTTTCATTTTCAAAACAGTTTCTTTTCAGGAAAAGAAAATCTGTGTGTATAAAGCTACTATGGTAAATGTTAACATTTGGGGAGACTTTTATAACTTACTTTTTTTTCTTTTTAAAACAGCTTTATTAAGGTGTCATTGATATAAATTTGTATAAGTAAGCTCTAGAGCTATGTAAACTAATGCTAAATTGAAAAATTTCTGAATAAGGATATATTTACATATTTCCTATAGATTTAAATTAAATGAGCTCCATAATTAAGCTAATTAACATATGCATCAATTCTATATATCAATAGTTGCCATTTGTGTATGTGTCATAGAGTTGGGGGTGAGAAGATTGAAAATCTATCCCCATAGCAAGTTTCATTAACCACCGTTAACTGTTGTCACCTTGTTAGATGTTAGGTCTCCAGAACTGCATTTTGTTTAAGTGAAACTTTGTATCTTCCTCTGCATATATTCTTAGGGCAAATACATGGACTTGGGAACACAACTTCCTGGTTGGAATCCTGTTGTCATCTACTGTAATTTTGGGGAGATTGACCTCTTTTCATTCTTCATCAGGAAAATAGGATAGTATTTTATAATAAATTTTTTATAGTATTGGTAGGAAGCTCAAAAGAGGTGAAAAGGAATTAAAAACAGTCTGAAACAAAGTATTCAATAAATACTAGTTAAAGTACTTACAAGTGTTGGATAATAAAAATAACCCAGTACATTTAAACTTGTCCTGGTGGGAATTTAGAGCCATTGCTGTGTTTCTAGGACCATATAGCATCCTGATTTCATCTGACCAGGCACAATGGGGTGGAAGCCTCAAAAGAACTTCTGCTATGTAACAAGAGATGATCAACTTATGTGCGAAGATTTGTTGTTTCCCTAAATTCTAATCTACCTGGGATGGAGCTAGAAATCTGTATTGGACTAATGTGAGGCAAAGGAGAACAAAAGAGAAGACCTGCTAAACTGAGACATTTCCTGATAAGGAAAAGAAAATGGTCTTTGTGTATGCTGATGCGAGAGAAGGAGATGCTATTTTCCAGCTGTGGGCTTGTTTGCCTGCCCTTTGACATTACCAGCCACTAGTGGAAGGATTGTATGTGCCTTCTGACCTCAAGTCTGATGCCATGCATTTTCCATTCCACCATTGAAGGGGCTTCCTATGGTTCCTCAAATAGTTCTGCCTTGTCAACTCCCCATCCCCACCCCTCACTCCCCACCTCTCGCCCCACACCCCGACCCCCCAGATGAGTGGCTTCGTGCTGCCCATTGCCGTCAGGGTCCCATGGAGGCTGTTGGGGCTGCATGAAGCAACCAGAAACTCAGAGTCTCCACTTCTCAGTGTGACTGAGCTTCAGTTTAGGGGTGCAATGGAGTACCGAGCCTCTGGAAAAGATGAGGGCCCATTTGGCCAAAGGTAGGGCGAGTGCAAAAACATTTTTCTTAGGCTGGGTTCCGCCGTGACCCGCCAGCACAGGCAGCCTCTCAGGCCACGTGCAATTCGGAGGCGTGTCCGCGCTTGCGTAGAGCGGTAACTATGGACGCTTGATGTGGAGTTCGCATGCGCACAACACTCTGGTGTAAACGGCCTTAATTTCTAAGTCACATATTCGCTACTAGAGCTCCTCCGAGGGGTTCAGTGCCACAGCCGGAGTCCAGGGGCCGTGTCACGAGCCCAGGGGAACATTATTGCTGGTGGATGCCGTTGCCGTTGCTGCTGCTGTGGGATGAGGGGTGTCGGGGGTGAGCCCGAGGGGGGCTGAGGACCCTGCCGGCTGCTGCCCCCTGAACCACTGGTGTGAGTGGGATCTGCTGCCTCCGAGCCAGCCGGACACTTAATGCTGTTGCTGCGTATCTTGTGTTGCTGTGACACAGGCTTGCTCCTGGCCCCACACAGGGGCTTCCTGAACTGTTGTCTCGTATGGTGCCATCAAGAAACCCGCAAGGCCCCACACCAAGACTGGGGGTGCTCACCAGTCCCCAGGGCAAGGCTCTTGGGTAAGAACCCAACAAATCAGGAGTTAAAATAATGTAAGCAATGGCTATTTTACTTTATTTTGTTATTTTGTTTGCTAACAGTAGTCTGTGGAGAAGGGAAGGGTTTTGTGAATGCATGTCAGACGGATGAAAAAGTGCCTTGGAAAAGATATCACAAACCATTGTGCAAAACAACAACAACAAAACAAACCCATTTTTATTGCTTATAAAGATTAGTTTAATGGAAAAAAAATCATAGTGTATGGAATAATTTTATTTCAGCTTAAATAATGACCCCGTTGATATTCAGTCGAGGGTGAGAAAAAGAAATAGATCACCCAAAAAAAAAAAAAAAAAAAAAGCTGGTAATCTAGCCCCACTGTGAGTGATTTTAACTCATAGAAACTGTGAAAAACAGAAACAGCTTTAAGGACAGTGAGCCATTTTTCCAGAATCAGGAAATGTAAATTTGTGTCTGTGTATGTGTGTGTGTGTGTGTGTGTGAAAGTAGAAAGGTGAAAATATTCTTACCAGGGATCCCATCAGGCCACTTTAATCTTGAAGATTAAAGCTTCTCGGTATTTTCCCTTGACAGGGAAAAGATTATTGAAATACAATTCTACTTTTTATGAAGATAAAAAGGGTTTTAAAAATTGATGAAAAGGTAATTCAAAACAAACTTAATGCCATGTAAAATTGGGAACTGAGTGCATATGCTATGCCCTGTGGCAAGGCTACACTGCTGGCACCTGCAGAGGTGCCAGGAGGCTGATGCTGTCCTGGCTCCAAATGTGTGTCCTGCATATTAGATGTTGGGCATCAGAAAAGTAATAACGGTAACCTTGACCAGCAGACAGCAGTGCTCCAGTGTGTCCTTCCCAGGCTCACCTGGGAGGCTCAAAACAAAATCAAACAGAAAACCTGCCCAGGCTCCTAGACCTACTTAAAAACTGACTTTGGCAGGGTTGGGACTGGGAATTCATGTTTTCACAGGCTGCTGTGATGACTCTGATGCTGAGTGTGGTGGGTTGGCTGGATGGTTAATGGGTATAGAGTAAACCTGGATTTGGATTCTGGTACTGTGCTTGAGTAACAGCGTGGCCCTGAGCATGTTCTGAACCTCCCTGACTTTCAGGATTTCCCCTGAA